CGCGTCTCAATGCAGGCCGAGATAGGTTTAACCCTCTCCTGTGATCTAGACGAACTCTACAACCATACTTCACATGACCTAATTGTCCACATCTATAACAAACTACATCACCATCATCTCTACTTCTGTATGAGGAATGTCCTTGATTTTGTCTGTAATCTCTAAATTGTTGTTGACCTCCTCCTTGACCTTGAAATTTTTCATTCATAAAATGTTTCTGTGGTCGTTCTGCTTGGTATTTCTGGCGTACTTCATTGATATCTTCCTTCATCTGGGACATTTTAGTATCCATTTTCTGTATCATAGCTTTCAGTTCGTCCATCTGTGGATTACTGGCTATAGTTTGGATTGTTGTTTTCTTGATGTCCTTTTTTCTTAGTTTGTCTTGTTCCACTTTCCTTATTGCTCGTCTTAATTCATCAAAATCTGTTGACTCCTTGAAGATATGACCAGTAATGTCCTTCAAGTTTTCAGATAAACCATTCCAGAACATGTTTCGCAGCATCTGATCTGTGTTGGTTGGAATGATTTCATCATTCTGGATGACTTTATTTAGGAGATCTTCTAATCGACAACTCCACTCTGACACATCTTCATTATCTCTTTGAGCTGCACTGTAGAACTGAGAAAGCAGGTTTTCATTGTCATCTACAGTTCCATAAACACTTTCAAATCTGTGCATTATTTCCTCTAATGATGCATCAGGTCCAAGTCTCATAAGCACTCTGGCTGCATTTCCACGCAATGACCTCCTCATGCTCTGCAAAAGTATGGCTGGTTTTACATCACTCTTCTTTAAACACTCTACTTCGTACCGCCATAAATCATATGAGGTGTCACTTTTCTTATCTCCAGAGAAGACTGGGAGTTTTGGAAGATGAGACGAAATAGTCGCAAATTCTGGGGAACTGTTGCTTGCACCTGAAGTTGTGTCTCCTTGAGATAATCTTGGTGCTGTCCAGTGTGTATAACTTGTCATCCAAGCTTTTAATTCCTTGGCAGACTTTGCCTTTGGTTTTACTCCTAACTCCTTGAAAGCTTTTGCTAGTTGTTGAAGTTCTGTTTCAGACATATCTTCTGTTGTTTCTGGATCTACACTCATGATGATGATTGAGTTGTGAGATTATCTCTAATTTCTGAGTACTTCACTTAACTAAATGTATACTTACTATCTATATTACACTAGTACTATACTACTGTCTATTGCTAGCTAACTACTCCTAATCTAATCTTAAGTTAATTGAACTACATGCTGATCATCAATATTTCAAATAATTTCTGAAATGAAGAGATAATGAGAGGCTGAAAAAAAAAAATTTTGATTAAATTTCTAATTCCCTGAAAAAAATAATAATTAACAGATTCTGAAATATATACTACCACCAGCAGCTAATAAACTATTTTTCAAATGTTGTTTAAGAAGACAAAATTTTACTAAATAAATGAACTAAATAATTTAAATAAACTTGACTTAAATAAATGATCTAACTAATACTCTATGAATTAACTGTAAGTTCAACTAATCAATATCTAATTCTTAAATCTAAATCTAAATTAACTAAACTAAGTCTAATTAAAGCTAACTTAAAAAAAAATAAAAATGACGTGTAATTCAAGAAAAGAAGAAACCGAAGCGCTGAGTTACAGAAAAAGAAACCGACACGTTGACCTATTGGTCAATGAACCTGAAAAGAAAATGAATATATATATCCCCAAATTAATCAACACATGATTTCAGAATGTTTGTTCTACAAGTGAAGGGAAATACCAATACTATATTGGAGTATAATGACAACAGACAATATGCCTCAGAAAAGCTCACTTGAAAATTTCAATCTACAAGAAGTGGAATATTTTTTAGTTACACCTTTACCTGTAGTCAGCTTATAGCCTAGCTACATGTATAATTCTAATCAGCAGTAAACTGACAAATCAGCAAGTCTGTATAATACTGGAAATTCAAATGCAGTTGCAATATAAAATTATTTCTTACTAATTGATGATGATGAAATGAATGATGTGTTGTCGCTGCAAGCAAAGCGCAGTGTAAGTAAACACAAATATCTAAATGGGGAATTGAATTTAATTGACCTACATTTTACTTGTAAGCTGAAATGAAGAATTTATCTTGATATTAAATTATTACCAAATGCAAGATGGTCAAGCCGCTTCCAGGAAATGAATAAACAAACCAAATACAAAACACCAGCAACTCTAGTTTATGAATACCAGCTGAAAAAAACCAACAACTCCTTTTGCTAAAACGTGGTTTTGTTTACCGGATGTTGTTATCTGGATGTCAAGGTCAATGGAACTGGTTTAGTTTAATTTAGAAAATACCTTCCGGATATTTCCGGATGTGCTTTTAGCGCGTTATTTAGTAAACTTTTAAGTTTTAAGCACACTCAAATGTCTCTTTTTCACTGACTTTCAATCTATGTTAATACTAAATGACGCAAAAATATGAATTCATACAGAATAAACAAAACAAAATGAGATGACCTACTGTACAAAATAAAACAGCTGATATCGATCACGTGATCAAAAATTTAGGCCAAATCTAAATATAGTTTTTGCATTCACAGAACATGAGCAACGAATAGTGAAACAATCTTACCGGTTCATGCATGGTAGTAAATAGTCCAAATACACAAATACAACACAATTTCACAAATATAGTGTCACAAATCACAACACAAACACAGCACAACACAAACACAAATACACATGTACATGGCTCTTGCGCAATCCCTGGAAAGATACTTCCGGTGACGTCACAAAGCGCGGAATACGAATGATGAATAGGAATTGAAGTTCAAGTTCGTGTACCTCTGGAGCGCGCGGGAAAAACCACCAGTTTTTATCTCCAATTCACGTTGGGCGCCATTTTTGTAACCGGTTCTTGTAGAAATTAAAAAATGACTGCAAGATGGTATATAGGGTTGGATTCTTAGTATTTATTCCGTGGAGATATATAGTTGATTTCAAGATGAATTAAATGTTTTAAATCAACCCTAAAATAACAATAACAACATATAAATACATAGACAACATATAAACAAGCACATTCACTTTACAACACAAAACGATCACAATTTAAACACATAAAACATTCATTTAGGCCATTACTTTACACTTTATATAAACGCATTCAAAGGGCGATAACTCTTTGAAACTCTTACTGAATTAATGATGTAAATTATATTTCTCTATACTGAAATATTTACAATACTTTAAAAATATGAGTTTAACATACCAGTGTATGGAACTGAGTGATTTATCTCTTGATCAGGATGACTTTAAAGAATTATTACATGATGACCTAATGGATTAATAAATTATAAAATCATAATAATTCAAACCCAGATCTTAATCCAAAGATCTACATGAATTAGATTAAAACATATAACTTGCTCTTACTTTACAATATCGATCTTAACTTTAATAACTTTAGAACTTTCACTCTAGCACATTCATACTCATTTAGCAAGTTTATATTAAAATACTTTATTATCATTCATTATCTTTAATTTTAGTTTATGATCATTAGATGTGTTTATAAAAGGTTTACTTACAGTTTATGGGTGTTTAATATACTCCAAAATATCAAAAATTAAATTTTAAGCAATCACAAATCTCTAGCTACACCCTTCTCAGACAGTATCTTTGAATGGGATAATAAAACAAAGGTTTCCCGCCTGAATGGACAACTTTGACCAAACAATACCAACTGACCAATAGAATGTAGGAAGACAGACAATACCCTTATTTATAAATGGACTAATCCTTATATCTACCTTAACCCATAGTCTTTGGGTTAAACCATTATTTAATAGGGATGTTTATGATTTAAACATATAAATAAATAATATATTATTTAGTAATGCAGGCGCAGCGCTTGTATAGATGTATGGATGAATGAATGAATGATTAATTCCTGAAATAAAATATATAGCATTAATTAAAATAAAATAAAACTAAGTACAACTACCACAACAACTACCACACATTTAAACATATAAATAAATAATATATTATTTAGTAATGCAGGCGCAGCGCTTGTATAGATGTATGGATGAATGAATGAATGATTAATTCCTGAAATAAAATATATAGCATTAATTAAAATAAAATAAAACTAAGTACAACTACCACATAATTTTATGTTTACCGTCAAAGGCTACAATTTTCACTAAAACTCTATCACCTACTTGTAAATTAAAGTATAAGCAAAAACGATCTTCCAAAAACATTTCTAGCCTTTGTGTATTCAGTTTAACTGTTTTAAATTTTGTATGTGGCACATGTGTAGTCAAAATAACTGTTTAATGTAAATAGTAATAGCAGATGTTTGACTGATTTATCTTAATATTATTTTTATCATTCGTTGGGATGTAGAGTAGCCATGAAATTTACAAACATTGCCCCGACCCCCACCCACCCACGAAAAATGATACTACAGTAACATGGGTGCTCCAAATATTTAAATAACACGTTATGTTTTCCATCTTTACTGTAAACCTGTTGAGGAACAAATCATGTTGCTATATGTAAATGTATATGATATTTCTTTTTGTTATACTTGGTCATTTAACACAAAGAATATTTAAATCACTTATAAATTTATTGAACCATGACATGTGGCTTATTCTTAAACTAGATTTATTGTAAAATCTTAAAATCAAGCATTAGAAATAAATCTATCCGAATACTGTGAAACAAATATCATTAGAATGGCGGGTTAGAGGTTTTGATCAGCCAATAAATTTCTCTATAAAACTAGACGACTCTCAGCACATACCTTTGTTAACTTTTAGTATCAGAGTATACAAGGTACGGTTATATCAGATACAAGATTTATCTAATAAGGAAAAAGAACGACTTGAATGTTTCATAGGATGCTCCACCTAATCTTAATGACACTCTTGTCCGATTTCAGTGAAAAAATTGCTCTTCCTCTTTTTCTTTCGTGTTCATTGTATGTTCAATGCATGTTATAGCCAGAAGACAGATTTGCTGACCTGGACGCCAGATACACTCTTCACAAGCGTTTTTGTGCCCTTACCAAACAGGTAAACGTAAACAACATGCTCCTCAATCAACAGTGGTGAAAACCAAAAACGTCTTAACATCAACATACAATGTTTGGATACTGACCTTCAGTTTATGTTAGTAAACTAATGTAAAGAACGATAAATATTTGATATTAAACGTTTACAAATGATTCCTAGCTAAACGGAAATTATTTCCTGAGGATTTCTAGAGTTTATAACATATTTTGTTAATTAAAACTGTTATCTGTTTTCAGTGAAATGACATCTTTTCTATTTCTCGTTCTAGACAAATAGACTAGATGCATTGGGACTACAGAAGCTATTGCAAACGCGCATGCGCTCTCCTTCCCATACATGCTGCTTTCAAGGCACAAATAGTAAGAAGTCAATTAACTGTTGATTTGATAAATATATTTTAAAATTATTCTCCTTACACACTTAATACAAATCCATGTTTGTGTCGTGATAAAATTTGAAATGTAAAAAAGTGGTAAAGTAACAAAAACTCAAAGATAATCTTGAAAGAAACGACAGCATTCACCCAAAATGTTGAAACAACAAACGTTAACTGTTATTTGTAACAATAATTTAAGTGTATTGAATCAACAAAACGTTTACGACTGCTATTGTCTATAGTTTCTTAAAACTATATACTTATTATCTGTATTGTTTTTATTTTTCTTAGATTTTCACTTCAAACCGATAAAACTGACACTGCAGGCATGTAAGGCAGCTATATCCATAACAAATGTATCCTTTATATACACGTAAAAACTGTTTAGTTTTGGGGAAGGGAGGGAGTATGATGGCATTTTTATTGATTTGAGCACGTGGTACATGTACTACAAGAAAATATGACAAAGCCATTTGTATTCTATAGGAATTTCGATGGGAACTAGTTGTGTCCAATTTTGCCGACCAGTGTTTATATTCTTATGAAGTAGAATTTAGACAGAAACTTCTACATGAGAAGAGGAAAACTCTTGCTGCGGACTTTATTCGAAATAAAGACATATTGACATTTTCTTCATTAACAGTGGTTATTTTCATTCATATATCAACTCGATATATCCCAGTGAACTCATAATAAAAGACTCCACAGAAAATACCATATTTTATTCACATTAGGATATTTTACTTGCTATAGACAATTAAACCATAAGGTACATGGGACGACTTCAGCTTTTCCATCGTCAACTTTCCTTATTTATGTAGTAAAATAATACCATCACCTGCATGTGGTGTTTATGTCTCCCAGCTGATATGATAAGCAAATTTTTCGAGAAACCAATTTTTAAACCGATGTGGGCTACTGACAAATAATTATAAGTTGATGTTACAGAGCCTTAAACAATCTAGTTAACGTCAACATTTTGTAAATTCTATGGTGGTTATAATGATCTTGTTTGCAAATACGACCTATCGATTGTTATTTGACTGAATATTTCATGCCAATTGTTAAAACCTTTTTTTTAATTTTAATTTTGACTTGATTTCTCCGTTTACCTGATCAGTATAAAGGGCCCACCGCGGTTGTGACCGGTCGACATGGGATACTTTCTCCTCGTAGGCACCTGATCACACCACTAACACTCGCAAAACTAAAAACATTTTATAAATGCATCAAGAATCAAGAAAATTCCTTCTATTGCATTGAAAAAAGCTCCTTAAAATAATGAAGACGGACTTCAGTGGCAAACTGAACTATGATGAATTCAGCAACCTTATGTTCAAAGTTATGATGTGGCAGGTAATTTACAACTGTTTAATAACTAATCACATGTCCTATTCTAGTCATTTTATCACCTTTTGTATGTTATACTCGATTTTTCATTTTTTTCCCCTGATTTTGCTGCTGTACATATTTTTATTTTACTTACAGAGAGTGTTTAATCAGTTCTGCGAGGATAAGATAGAAATGGACACGTATTGCTTGAGGAATGCCTTAAAAACCTTAGGTATATGGACTTAAGTTAGGAATAAATAAAGGCAATAATAATAAATAACAGTAATTATATTTAATAAGAACGTGTACTCATTCTGCTTCTGTTATTTTGTACATTCGAGGGGCTCGATTATTATAATTGCATTTACAGTAATTCAATTTTCTAGATATGTTTTCGAATAGATTATCTATTCATTATTTTCACAATGTACCGGGGTACACCATGATAAAAACCATTATAATGGATCTTTTCATCGAACATTTCTAAGATGATAAAATGTCTGTCTAATATTATTACGCCATATTGAGAAGTCGGTTTAGGTATTTTGCCAGAGTTAATGAATAATATTTAGTTGGCCTTTACATAATGCAAAGTAGCATATACATGTATGTACATTAAGTTTGTTGTATATGAGACATTTTCTTCCAGGAATTACAGGAAGTAATAAAACAACTGAGGCCCTTGTTATACGATATTCCTCGGTAGGAAGGATGTCCATGGAGAACTTCATTAATTGTGTGATAAAGCTCGTGACGGGCCACCGTAAGTTATTAATGATACTCATTATTTCAACTCGTATTCTGCGCTCTTTTTGATTTTTTCTTCGATTTTTCAATAATTTCACTCGAACAATATTGCAAGCTGAAAATGGTCATTCTTAATAAAATGTAGATCAATTTTATCCGACATATATATTTACGTTGTGGAAAATTAATATATATCATAAAGGAAACATAACACAAACAAAAAACTAATACATGGATTGATATATATTTATTTGACTGATTTTGAATAGAAATGACATAAATAATAAATCCCTAAAATATAAATTCTTTCCTGCTGGAATGAGCGACTTTGTGCCGTTTTCTATGCATCTCTGTATAAAATTTTGCACATATTTTTTAACGCTTTTATAAAATCTTACAAGATTTTCACAATAACTCTGGCAAAAATTATTCATGTTGCCTATATTTATATAAATCTATGAGATATATTGCTGAATTCTAAAAAAAGTTTGTTTGTGTTATTTATCTTTAAGGTTGTATTTTTTAAAAAATGAAAACAAAAGGTATACTCATCACAATGTAATTGTATCCTGTATTACAGATAGGGCTGCTTAGGCGGTTACTTAACACAATGAAATTGTATTATGTATTACAGAAAAGAGCTGCTTAGGCGGTTACTTAACACAATGTAATTGTATCCTGTATTACAGATAAGGCTGCTTAGGCGGTTACTTAACACAATGTAATTGTATTCTGTATTACAAATAGGGCTGCTTAGGTGGTTACTTAAACACAATGTAATTGTATCCTGTATTATAGATAGGGCTGCTTAGGCGGTTACTTAACACAATGTAATTGTATCCTGTATTACAGATAGGGCTGCTTAGGCGGTTACTTAACACATTGTAATTGTATCCTGTATTACAGATAGGACTGCTTAGGTGGTTACTTAACACACAGATAGGGCTGCTTAGGTGGTTACTTAACACAGTGTAATTGTATCATTTATTACAGATAGGGCTGCTTAGGCGGTTACTTAACACAATGTAATTGTATCATTTATTACAGATAAGGGTGCTCAGATATTACTCTGATGATAAACAAAGATTCATTTCTTGAGTAAATGTAAATAATTTATAACATAATCGAATACAATTAAACTGGACCCAAGTTCAATTTAATATTATGTACGTAATTCTCGTGTTCCGATGAAGGTACGTGTCTTCCTTTGTATAGGACTGTAGAATCCGTATTGTTCGGCTTTTCATTTAGATATCAAATATGAAAAGGGATGGAGAAAAAGAAACATTGATTATTGGAAATGAACCCTGAACTAGTCAGATGAATTGTGAACGTACTGAGTCACTTACAATCAGCCTCAGGCGGTACCACAGAATATTCATCTATTGTTTTATTTTTACGCATCAAGAGAAATGATTATCTATAAATGGCGCAGTAAAATAGCGTCCCTCTGCCATTTCTGATACATCCATCAATTCCTCTGGTCCTCTGTGTCAGACCCAATTCAATCGCTTATTTTTGATGCGTTTATCCTTCGTTATTGATTTCAGAGCTCTACAGACGTCGACTCAAAGAGAAAGCTGCCATTGAATTGCCCTCATTACCTGAGGTAACAATCAATCCGGAAACACAGAATTCTGCGATCGATATTGGTTCTCTCTTACACAGATTTTTCTCACTTTGACTCAAACTTCAATTTGAGCAGAATTTTATTTACCTGAATTATAAATCCAATAGCATAACAAAATGACTAGATAGATTATTCGGTTAAATCGTGTATTTTCCTTCAAATCAAATAATTAATTATTGGTGTTGTATAGTTGGTTATTATTGAAAATCGTTTTCTATTATTTAAGGTTTTGTGTTCCAATATTTATACATGAATGGAAGTTCAGCAAAGTGCAGAGGACTTTCCGACAGGAGCGAGTGAGATCTGGCATTCTATAAGCCAGCACACAGACAGACAGACATATTGTGTCACACAAAGTGCAGCAACTGTGTACAGAAAAGATGATTTAGTGTACAGAGGAATTATTCTATGTACAAAATTATAATGTGTATCAATTGAAATTAACTAAAGACATGCATCCTAAGCAACCTTAAGCGTAAGCATGCATGAAAGAATCCTAAGGGACAGTCAAAAACTGTCAACATTTCAAAAAGAGCTGGGATTTTCCTTATGTGTACATTTCCTGTTTAAGCATAGATTTTTTTTTTATATCACTTTGTCATAAATTATGCAGGTGTGCATATACCAGGACACATTTCGGAATTTTCTAGGTAAACCTGTGTAATAAATGGGTGGTGAAAACAAAAGAATAAATCATTAAACTCTTATCAGTACGTTATCTTGCCACTTATACGTTTATACATAGTCTAGAAAGATTTTTCATATACTCTCATGTTACTTTGGTGGAGTAATGGTGCTTCACTGATGCAGAAATGCCTGCATGTACTCTACAGAGTAATATAATTTTAAAGCATGAAAACAAGGAAAGACTTTTTTTCTAGTTTAATAAATATAAAACCCATATACAATTACAATCACACATTTAATTTGCTCATCTGTGTGTTTTGCTATTTCTATATTGTATTGCTGTGTATGTCAGACATACTTTACTATAGTCTATATTGTATTGCTGAAGAATTGTGCCATACATACTTTTCTGTAGCAGTGACAAGATTCTCTATGAATGCATTTACAATTTTTAAGTTTAGATATCGATGTGAAATGCTGAAAAATTATTTCCTGGGAGTGAAGTGTGTTGTCTTGAACCATTCATCGTAAAAGTTTCTACTTTAGCTTTCGATATGCAAAAACATAAAGAGCAAATTCTACACTTCCTTTAAAATAGTTTAAGAGGTATAATTAGTAAAAAAGACAAAGTGAGTTTCTTATCAATTTAAAATAGAGGTATGATCAAATAGGTATTTCTAAATTAAGATGTACAAATAGCTGTATAAAAAAAGCAAACATACATAAAAATATGCTAATAATTAAAATAAACCTAACTAATTACTGTCGTTTGTACATAAATGTATATATTCAACATCTACATATTCAGCTTAATCAAAATATTCTACTGTTCAGTAATAATGTACAAATAACAAAGTAATCGTGACAAAAAGATCGACTTACAACAGTCACACAGGTATAAAATATATGTCACTAAACACAAGGTGTACATGAAAACTCTTACTTAAAACATTAAATCAGCTTTGTGTCATTGATTGAGAGATCATTCAAACTGTTTTCGGCGCCTCTGGATTGAAAATAGAACCGGAAATCAGTCATGAGTACGCGCATGCGTTTTTTTTATCCACTTCTTTTCTTTTATCCCATTACAAGTATTGCACCTCATGAAAAAAGTAAGTGGTGCACTGATGTTTTCACGTACCCACTCAACCCAGATTTATAATAAGCGTCATTAAACACTTCAGACCTGCTGCTATCAATTCTGCACAAGTGCAATCAGTTTCATGGTGAAAATTAGCATTTTTAATTTGCCACTTATATTTTTTTTTTAATAATTAGTATTAACAAAATTTCTGATTGTTACGTTTGATCATTTACATGTACATATGTTCTAATGTATAACTATTAGTAAAAATATGTGGATTCCAATTGAATTCCCCCTTGTTCTGTTGTTCTGGCTACCATGTTACAAATTTCTGTATAATTGTAGATTGATTCACCATATTGTTAGATGATACTGCACTAACTTATGTATTGGTAGTGATAAAATTCTCACTTATCCAAGCACATTTAAAACAAATAGCAAATATAATGTTAAAAAAGGCACCATTTACACAACATCAGACAAAATTGCTGCTGCATCTGAAGGAGTCTTCCTGTCATGTCGTAACTTTGTATACACCTGTATCGAGAGAGATTTAAAGTCTGTAATCTTATATAATTTACTGCAAAACTGCTATTGCAGGTCACCAGAAATATATAAGACACAATGCAACATCAATATCGGTAAGGTTTGTAAAAGAAGACTTGCTTCCTCTTGAAGTTAACCTTAGAATATAATGGTGGATGTTTCAAAGAAAACTACAGAACTTACCATCTACGCCTGGATGTCCCTTATTGCACAGCACAACACGATCGAAAAGATCATTCCTAGGATCTAAAGATTAACAACAAAATTCATTTATATAAGACAATAATATCAACAATGTACACTTTTCACTTCTTATATGGAACAAATATGTTTATTGGACTGACTGTTCCAGACAACAAACATTTCAATTTATTTAAAATATACTCAGTTCTATTGTAAAACCATGCATACAGCTGCTTAGCTATTGATAATTAGTAGGAAAATGTCTTACCAAAACAACAGCGATTCCTATGGCAACACCAGCAACAATTAGAATGTTATCTTCAAACCAAGTACTTGCTTTATCTAAGCATCCCTGGAACAGAAAATATAAACTGAAAATATCATATATAATGTCAAAACAAAGGGGTTTTCTATTGTAGTGTAAATACCAAAAATATCTCATTATCTGTTATCAAACATATCTTGTATTACACATCACTAATGTCTTGTTTCCTGAAGTAAACGACTCAGTTGTTTTGTCTTATTGGTAATGTTGAATATTGTAAGTAATAATAATATTAGTTTTCCTATAGGTAATCAGTAATGTCCAATTGGTAGTATTACTTTAAGCTAATAAAGTTGATATTTAATGCTTTTTAAGTCATCATTGATAACTAAAATAAGTCAAACTTCGTTATCTCGAACTGGATCTATGTCTGTGGTAACAGAATGGCTTACATTATCGATGTAAATCATCATGTTTTATATTATCTACATAATTTACTGTGTCTTAAGTTTCCTGTGATATTTTCAACCTCGTATATAAATTATACTTATCCCTACTATCTTTAACCACCTATATCATATATGTATATTATCAGTAATACCTAATATAATCAGTATTATCCTAAATTATTTAAGTAATCAGTCTTTATCAGTAAAGTCTAATATTGTCTGTGACATCAGTAACGTTTTACAGATACAGTTAATCAGTAAACTCTATCATTATATCTATCATAATTTACGTAATCAGTAATGTCCTATATTATCCCAATAATCGGTATCGTCTTAAATTTTATCTGTGTAATTGTATACATTGTCTATGCAATAAATAATTTATTTTTCATTTTCAGAATTGTCTTAAATTTTTAATGCTTTCAGTAAAGTCTTGTATTATTTATGATCTCAGTCATTTTGAAAACTATTTATTTGATTTCAGTAAAGTCATCATTATTACTAAAGATTTTTATAAAATCATATCATACATTATTTAAGGATATCCGCTCCTCAGCCAGGAAGAATAACTCTTAAATTTATTATTTAATTTAAAAAGTCTCAAAACGAAGCTTGAAACTGAAATCTTTTCGTGCAACAATTTTCATTTTATGCATCTGAATGTGATTCAAGGTTCTTTAAGTCTTATAAATGGTCTAGTAAAAAGTTGAACCCCATAAAAGTGCAAAAATACATTTTTAGAGAAATCGAATTTTCTTAAAACTAAGCCTTAGATACCAGTGAGTATTAGTATGACAAGTAATTAGGAGTGATCTGTAATGTTTTGCAATGATAGCAAAAGCTTTTTTTCAGTATGTATTATATAGCAATTGAAGAAATTGAAGAACTAAACAACCATATAGATATAAAAATATATATATATATGCAATTTTCTCCAGACGCCTGGATACCTGTAGTTTTTTTTATCGGAGAATATATAAGTTGATCAATTTTCAATTGGAAAATGCATAGCTGGAGTTTTTATTTACATTTCATGAAAATTTATTTGAGATTTGATAATTTTCCCTTTGTGATATGATGAACTGTGAATTACCATGTTTCAAGTAAGTCTTAAATTATTTATGGTTTAAGAAAGTCTTACATTAGCTATGTTTCCAGTAAGTCTTACATTAGCTATGTATCAAGTAAGTCTTACATTAGATATGTTTCCAGTAAGTCTTACATTAGGTATGTTTCCAGTAAATCTTACATTAGCTATGTTTCCAGTAAGTCTTACATTAGCTATGTTTCCAGTAAGTCTTGCATTAGATATGTTTCCAGTAAGTCTTACATTAGCTATGTTTCCAGTAAGTCTTACATTAGCTATGTTTCCAGTAAGTCTTACATTTAGCTATGTTTCCAGTAAGTCTTACATTAGCTATGTTTCCAGTAAGTCTTACATTAGATATGTTTCCAGTAAGTCTTACATTAGATATGTGTTTCCAGTAAGTTTTACATTAGGTATGTTTCCAGTAAGTCTTACATTAGCTATGTTTCCAGTAAGTCTTACATTAGCTATGTTTCCAGTAAGTCTTACATTTAGCTATGTTTCCAGTAAGTCTTACATTAGCTATGTTTCCAGTAAGTCTTACATTAGATATGTTTCCAGTAAGTCTTACATTAGATATGTGTTTCCAGTAAGTTTTACATTAGGTATGTTTCCAGTAAGTCTTACATTAGCTATGTTTCCAGTAAGTCTTACATTAGATATGTTTCCAATAAGTCTTACATTAGGTATGTTTCCAGTAAGTCTTACATAAGGTATGTTTCCATTAAGTCTTACAATAGCTATGTTTCCAGTAAGTCTTACATTAGCTATGTTTCCAGTAAGTCTTACATTAGATATGTGTTTCCAGTAAGTCTTACATTAGATACGTGTTTCCAGTAAGTCTTACATTAGATATATTTCCAATACGTCTTACATTAGGTATGTGTCCAGTAAATCTTACATTAGCTATGTTTCTAGTAAATCTTACATTAGGTATGTTTCCAGTAAGTCTTACATTAGATATGTGTTTCCAGTAAGTTTTACATTAGATATGTTTCCAGTAAGTCTTACATTAGGTATGTTTCAAGCAAGTCTTACATTAGATATGTTTCCAGTAAGTCTTACATTAGATATGTTTCCAGTAAGTCTTACATTAGATATGTTTCCAGTAAGTCTTACATAAGGTATGTTTCCAGTAAGTCTTACGTTAGATACGTGTTTCCAGTAAGTCTTACATTAGATATGTTTCCAATAAGTCTTACATTAGGTATGTGTCCAGTAATCTTACATTAGCTATGTTTCTAGTAAATCTTACATTAGGTATGTTTCCAGTAAGTCTTACATTAGATATGTGTTTTTAGTAAGTTTTACATTAGATATGTTTCCAGTAAGTCTTACACTAGGTATGTTTCAAGTAAGTCTTACATTAGATATGTTTCCAGTAAGTCTTACATAAGATATGTTTCCAGTAAGTCTTACATTAGATATATTTCCAGTAAGTCTTACATTAGCTATGTTTCCAGTAAGTCGTACATTAGATATGTTTCCAGTAGGTCTTACATAAGAGATGTTTCCAGTAGGTCTTACATTAGATATGTTTCCAGTAAGTTTTACATTAGGTATGTTTCCAGTAAGTCTTACATTAGATATGTTTCGAGAAAGTCTTACATTAGGTATGTTTCGAGTAAGTCTTACATTAGAGATGTTTCCAGTAAGTCTTACATTAGGTATGTTTCCAGTAAGTCTTACATTAGGTATGTTTCCAGTAAGTCTTACATTAGATATGTTTCGAGAAAGTCTTACATTAGGTATGTTTCGAGTAAGTCTTACATTAGAGATGTTTCCAGTAAGTCTTACATTAGGTATGTTTCCAGTAAGTCTTACATTAGGTATGTTTCCAGTAAGTCTTACATAAGATATTTCAGTTATGTCCTAGTCCTTCATTATTTTTTTTCTCATTATCTTCATTAATTATGATTTCAGTGAAGTCTTCATTCATAATTTCAGTAAACTCTTACATTGTTTATGACTTCTGGCTTGCAGGGTGTGGACTTGGAGGCCTTACAGTCAACGAAGGTTGCGTAGTCTATCAAACCATCAACACCACAGCATTGGAACTGGTGATGCAGAGCAAAAGTGAAAAAATATTCATGTTAAAACAATTTTACTTTCTGATTTTTTCCCATAGATTATGTTTTCTGAATGCAAAGAAGTAATCCTGTAAAACATGAAACTAAAGAATTTTTAATTACAGTGATGTCAAAAGAGGATGGTTACCTGTGTTTGTACATCATCTAGAAAGTTGATGCTCTTTGGATTGGGATCTTTGATATCGCATGCTCTTTTGATTTGGTTATGAAGGACATCTCGCACTAAGTCCTTGACCTGATAAATATGAAGTTAAAAATCACAACATCCTTGTCAAAACCAACACTAAAACAAATAGTACTAGAATGACGTCAGTGACTTTTCCAAGATTTTTTATTTATGGATTATGAGATTAGAAACTGGACCAAGGTTGATGAAAAGAATGGAAAATAATTCACGGTCCTTCTTCGGAGCCTTTATGTATTACGTAAACTGTTTATGACGATATACTTACGTCATCTTTTGCTATGACAGCCCAGATTCCCGCGCCAAGTAGAACAGCAAAAATGAGGAACAGGAGCACAAAGAACTGAAAAAGAAGACAGCAATCAGGATAAACATAAACAGTCCACTCTACAGTGTACAGGGAAACAATCAGGATAAACATAAACAGTCCACTCTACAGTGTACAGGGAAATCTAAATCGATATGCTTTATCGATATCCCAAAAGTGTATCGGTTTCTTCTGTTTCTAATACTATTTTATAATCATATTTAAAAAACATTTCGCATTAAACAGTACTAATGAGTACTTGAACTTGCACTTGCAATGGGCTGGGTTATAACAAGAGGTAAATTCATTTGCTCAGGGCAAAGAAAAAAACATCGTGTCGTATCATTACGATTTCTACATTCCGCTCTAATTCTAAGTCGTATACCTTATTCCTTACACAGATTTTCAAGTCCAAATTTTTTACTTCTGAAATTTTAGAGACACTTGAATACTTACACATCCCAGCATGCACTGACTTTCTCTGATGGCACCACAACATCCCAAAAAGCCGATGATCATAATCAGTGCGCCAATAGCCACGAGAATGTAAGCTCCAGTGTAAATGAACCCCAACTTCTCGTCAGCATCGGAGTATTTGGAGAAATCATCACTGACCAAGAGCCAGATACCCACCCCCAGCATAGCACATCCTAGCAGCTGTGGAAAAAAGAACAAATGGTCATAAACATGTAGAGATTCCCACCAACAGCAAATAGTAATTTTTAAAAAATACACACAGATAAGTGTATAAACGTGGGCTGTTCAAAAATTACACGGACTTGCTAGGCCCTACACAGAATAAATACTTAAACGTCTGTAATATTACACAAAAGCAGAGTCCACCTAATTTTAATAGTGAGAGGGGAAATTAGTAGTTTACGGTTTGTGTTGGTCTTTCTCTGCGTAAAATCAACACAATTCAGTAGACCTGTATGTACCACTGTTTCAAAATCCTGAGTCACTCAGGTGACCTATTGCTATCCGTTTTTGTCGTCCGTCGGTCGTAAACTTTTGAACATTTTCAGCTTCTTCTCATAAACCGCTGAACCAATTTCAAATAATTTTGGCATATAGCATCAATGGATGAAGGGGGACAAAAATTGTGAATTTCATGGTCCCTGCCTCCTGAGGGGTGGGGCTAAAACCACCAAAATTGATGCAATCTTTAAAAATCTTCTTTTTTACTAATGGAGATCAAGCAGTCAAACTGTTGGCATGATTGTAATAAGCATTGAGTCCTCTACCAAAATTGTGAAATTCATGGCCCAAGGGTCAGGGGTTCTGGTGCTAGGGCGGGGCTATATAGATCATATAATGAAAGTGCATTATTTCTTGGAAAATCTTCTTCTCTACTCTTGGGTATTATTTAAACAAATTAAATACATAGTTATGATATGCAAGGGTGCCTCTTCCAAAATTATGAATTTCATGGCCCCAGAGTCGGGGGTTCTAGTGCTAGGGCGGGGCTATATAGATCATAAAGTGAAAGTGCATTATTTCTTGGAAAATAGCATCATTAAAAACATATACAAGAGGCCCAAGGGCCTTGAATCGCTCTTCTGATAAACTGCACAACCTATCACTTCTATTTGAACCTCTAAGTATCCTGCATATTTAGATAAACCCTTGAAATTCCAAAGGTAGGTCATCATGACCTACATTTTAGATGAAACACTCTGAGAACCCAATATGATTCTAAGCCAATTAGTACCTGAGAGTTGGTCATAGTGACCTACTTATCACTTGTCATTCTCTGAGGACCCAAGATGCATCAACTAAGTTTGATGATTCTAAGCCAATTAAAACCTAAAATATTTTTAAAATTTTAACCATAAAATTTCAAAAGTAGGTCACAGTGACCTACTTTTCAGGTGACATACTTTGAGGACCCAAGATGCATCAATTGATAAAGTTTGATGATTCTAAACCAATTAGTACCTGAAATATTTAATTAAAGCCACAAATTTTCAAAAGTAGGTCACGATGACCTACTTTTCAGTCGACCTACTGCGAGGACCCAATATGCATCAACTGACAAATTTTGATGATTCGTAGCCAAATTGTACCCGAAAATATTAAACACAGCCATAAAATTTTAAAAGTAGGTCAAGGTGACCTACTTTTCAGTTGTCGTACTCCAAGGACCCAAGATGCACCAAGTGACAAAGTTTGATGATTCTAAGCCAAGTAGTTCCTGAAATATTTAATTAAAGCCATAAATTTTCAAAAGTAGGTCCTGGTGACCTACTTTTCAGTCGACTTACTCCGAAGACCCAAGATGCATCAACTGACAAAGTTTGATGATCATACTAGGCCTTAAATTGTTAAAAATATGCCTCTAAATCATTTTGAAAAAAAAATGGCCGCAAAATTTCACAAGTAGGTCACCGTGACCTACTTTTGAGTCAACATGATATGAGGTCCTTGAACAATTTTTAATCTACAACATATCCTCATCCTTTTGTGTAAGTTTGGTGATAATCTGCCCAGTGGTTCTTGAGAAGAAGATTTTTTAGCAACGAGTACTTTTGTTTTTATTTTCCTAATTATCTCCCCTTGTTTAAGGGTCACAACCCTAGTTTTAGTATAAAAGAGAGCCCTTGGGCCAAGGATACCCTGTGACAAATTTGATAATAATTGGCCAAGGGGTTCTTGAGTTATGGCCCATATTCTAAAAAGTTTACGCACACCGCACAAATGGCCACAGCATTAGCTCTTTGAGCCTTTGGTGGTTGTTATATTTATTTGCATATTAACAATATAGTTGATGTAAAGAAAAAAAAAACATCTATAATACCTTAGATTCGTAGTTTAAAAGCATTTGGACTGCAATTTCAGTTCACATTTTTGCTGGAAGTACAAGCCCAAGTGGTATACCAATCGAGATTTATTGTCTTATAAACTAGTGACGTTTAAATTTCAGTTTGTGTGGTTAATGCACAAGTATATATATGACAGTTTGAAAGTAGGTACTATGTATGCAAGCTATCAAAGCCCTACATCTCAGAATTCATAAGTACGGTTTGGAGTTTTTTCTCATTCAAAAGTTATGTCCAATATTTTATTGATTGAAAAGTAGGTCAAACTTCAAGGTCACGGGGTTAAAAAAATCATAGGTCTTGTCACACGTAATGTACAGGTCAAATATGAAAACAAAAGGAATCACCATTGTTAACATTTTTGAAAGGTAGGTCAGACTTCAAGGTCAAGATCACGGGGTTAAAAATCTGTGTTACTTGGAAAAGACTTGTCACAGGTAATGTACATGTGAACTAGAAATATGTCCATACGACATGAATGCCCCGCCCGAGAGTATATTAGTAATGCAACATGAAAATTGTATTAGTGTATGAAATTTGATGAGAATATCTTGAATTGTTTCTTTAAAATTGAAATCTGAAAAGTTGGATATAGATAAATTCTCGCCAAATTATGTATAAGTGCTTAAACTTACATAAATATATCTTAAGAGGCAGTCCACCGAAAAACCAGGCAATGGGTGGCACATCGCATGTCATGGATTTTAATTATTTTTTGCATGTAGACTTATTAAAGCACTTGTTTACACATGACAACATTAAAAAAATTTTTAGTGCTCCTCTAGTCCTATTTTTGGTAAATGCTTAATTTTAAGTGCAAAAAGGTCAACATATGGGTAAAAATAATTACTAAGTTTTTATTTTGTTTTATATGTAACAGATACTCAAAAGCTGGATGTGTCGATGAATATTATTTATAGCATAGACTCTTATCTTTTATTTTATTAATGAATAAGCCTCCAATTTATACTTCTTTAGAAAAAATTATATGGTCCAAATTTGAGTTAAGCAAGTAACTTTTTGAATTCAGTATCCAATTTTCATTACGTTATAAAACCCAATACATTACAAGGACAGATTTTTTTTCTTATGTTATTATGAATACAAAGTACAAACTTTTGAATCACTCAATAAAATCAGTGGGAACAGGTATATTGAAAGAAATAAAAGGAGTCAAATTTATCTTCTTTTTTTTAATTTTCCCAAATGAAACCGATCCCGACCGGAATTATATAAAGAAAAAAATACTATAATTGTAATGTTAAATTTGTCTCTTTTGTTGTAATATGAGTAAAAAATTACTTGATTTATTTTTTAACATGTTATGTAGGTGGCAGGTGCCTTTAGTTTGATAAATTTGTTAATTTTGCATTATTTTCGATCGGATCGGGATCGGTTTTTACTGTTAATTTAGAAACATTTCCTAAATTTGGCTCTTCATTTTAATTTATCAGAAAAATATGCTTGTCTTTTATTTCTTTTCAGTCAGTTAACTGTTTTTAAATGAGTGTAACCATAGATTCAAATTTATATATTATTTAAATTACTAATGTCTTTTACGTACATGAAGATTACATGTAAAACATCTGATTGAATTCTTAATAGATACTCGGTATTTAAAAAAAAAGTATTTGTACATGCATTATGCAACAAATGAGAGCAGACAGCTTTCTAGCTTTATTATTTATCTTATTTCCAAGTAAAATTTATTTTTTATTTCCTCAGGAATTAAAGAGTAAATTCTATCTGTGGCGAAATTAAACTTGCCTAAATACAGGAAATATTTTTATGTGTACAGTCTCGACTTTATCCAAGTTTTTTCTTACCTGTCATCTGTAAAGCCTTTTCCTCTTTTACATAATTTGATTTTATATAAATAAGAAAATAAGTTCTTTCATATATAGTATCATTATTCAAGAGCCGATAAATCGCAAGCAAAAAGCAGGGGGGGGGGGGGGTTCATAACATCATTATTTTTAAAAATTGGTTTCATGAACGTGAAAACATTTTAGAATTGGCCAACATAGTCACATGTTTAAACTCCATATTAAATGTGAGTGTGTGATTGTTTCAATCGCCAAATTAAAAAAATAAATAAGTAAAAAAAAAAAAAAAAAAAAACCGAAATGTTTCACTAAACCATCTTCCGTTTTAGTGCCAAATTATAGTGGGGAGTTCAGCAGTAGCTTAACTCAATACTTATATTTTTATAACTTATTTTTCAGGTTTTTTTTTTTTCATTTTTAATCGTACTTCGGATTGTTTATTTTGATTTGACTGCATAGATAAATATATTTAAGTTTTTACAAATATCATGAAGTAAACATTTCAACTTCGTTGAATTAAGTATTGCGTAAATCTAACACATTCATCATTGATTCCCAATTTTATAAGAAATGTTCATGATAAACACTTCCTTAATTATTTTTACGCATATCCTAGTAAATCAGTTAAAAAAAAATTAGTTCTCAGACATGTATAAAATTACTTATCAAAACGTCATCTAGCTGAGACGCCGCCTGTGTATAAAATACATTTGGATATTAAAATATTATTTAACATTTAGAATAATGCACTCTGAAGAGTAATTAAACAGAAAAAGAGAAATCATTTTTTTTAAAATCTTTTACGCAAAGAATTTACAAACTTCTCTGGAAACTTGTAACTATTTCATTGTGACGCAATATTAGTCAGGTATATGACGTCACTGATACATCAATGGAAACGTGGATTCAACCTGAATAATAGAGCCAATTTTAATCTAAATATTACGTCTGGAGGCGAAAATGAATTATATTTTGAAAATAAATTATTTAGTTTTTTGTTTAATTATTTTCT